TCTCACTTTTTTTGCCCCCAGTAGAGTACTGTGGTTTTGTAGCTCACAGCAACCTTAGTCCCTTGGGCTCAAGTGATTGTCTTCCCTCAGCTTCCCAAGTAGCTTGAACTACAGGTGCCTGCCACAATGCCCAGCTATTTTTTTTTTTCTTTTTAGAGACGGAGTCTCACTGTTGCTCAGGCTGGTCTCAAACTCCTGAGCTCAGGCAATTCGCCCACCTCAGCCTCCCAGAGTGCTGGGATTATAGTTATGAGCCACCATGCCCAGCCCTAAGCCATATTTTTTTCATAAAAATATTTATTTTTAATTTTTTTAGAGACAAGGCCTTCTATATTGCCCAGACTACAGTCCAGTGGCTCTTCATGGACACAAGCATGATGTACTCCTTGATCTCCCAGCCTTACAGGGTCCTTCCTCCCACCTCAGCTTCCCAAGTAGCTAGGACTATAGGACACTGCCATACCAGCTAAGCTATATTCTTCAATTCAGTTTTATTAGTGATAAAGTTGATATTTTCATCTTTCTATTAGTTCCAAATTTATATGGAAGGGATAATACTGTCCTTATAATACTCCAACAGTGTTGGATAAGACAGAGTCTATGTATTGTCACAATTAAAATAATTTAAGATAATTTTCACAGTCAAGATTTTTTTTTTTTTTGAGATAGAGTGTCATTATGTTGCCCTGGGTAGAGTGTCCTGGCGTCACAGCTCACAGCAACCTCAAACTCTTAGACTTAAGTGATTCTCTTGCCTCAGCCTTCCAAGTAGCTGAGACTACAATACCTGGCTATTTTTTGGTTGTAGTTGTCATTGTTGTTTGGTAGGCATGGGCTGGATTTGAACCCGCCAGCTCCGGTGATTATGGCTGGCACCCTAGCCACTGAGCTACAGTTGCCGAGCCAAGATATATTATTTTTCCTTTTGTTTTAGTTCATGATTCTACTCACTTAAATAATAAGTTGTCCCTGGTTTGCAGGCAGTAGTCTGCCTTGCTTGAAGTTCAATGTGTATCTCAAGCTGGACAAAGAAGAAAATATTTGTAGCCTCTGAGAAATATTGATATTAGGGAATATATACTGAGAAGGGAAGAGAGATCCAACCAAACCTGGCTCCTGCAACCTTTCCATCTCCCTTCCATAGTATCCTGGCAGGTTTTTATTTGTCCTGTTGATTTCTGGAACATGTAAACATGGCAATTAGAAAGTCACAGGCTATATGAGTATTCACGAAGAGCACTGCAAACACAGCAAGGAATAGTTAAGCCTCTTTTCAACATCCTTTAACTTATGTTGTGACCAAGTAGTGGGTCACAGAATCAATATAAAAAGTCCCAATCAGCATTTAACAAAGAAATAAGGATAATACTTCAATAACAGCATGCATTGCATATATTAAGGGTAATATTTCATAAAACTATTGTCTTTAGAGGCGGGTGTGTATAGGCATGCATATGTTCTGGGTTGAGATATAAAATATATTTCTATGGAGGATCACAGTCAAAGAAGTTTTCAGAGTGCTAGTTTAAGGTGTGTATTTCCTCTTCCTTTCATTTTTGGTTTTTGCTAATTTGATGTCTTTCTAAAACTCGACTATCTAGTGAATCAAAACTGTAGTAATAACCAGAGAAGAAAGACTCAATTCTCATTCTGTAAACACTTACGATGCAAAGACTTTTGTCCCTACTTCATTTCTTTGAAACAATCAAATGTCCAAATATTAGGACCAAAGAGCTGAGTCCTACAACCTCATTAAGAAGTTACATGAAGATTTACTTCAAAAGTTATCACCTTGGTAAGATGCAATGGCTTACTCTTGTAATCTTGGCACTCTGAGACACTAATGTGGGAGGACTGCTTGAGGTCAGGAGTTTGAAAATACCCTGAGCAGGAGTGAGACTCAGTCTCTACTAAAAATAGAAACAATGAGCTGGACATCATGGCCTCTGCCTGTAGTCCCAGCTACTCTGGAGGCTGAGGCAGGAGGATTGCTTGAGCCCAGGGGTTTGAGGTTGCTGCAGCGCTGGCCCCATATGCTGCAAGTGGCAGGTTCAAACGCAGCCCTAGCTTGAGCTATGATGACACCACTACACTGTACAGGGGTGACAGAACGAAATTCTCTCTTTCAAAAACTTGTTTTTATAACAAAGTTTATCACCTGTGCAATTCAAGCTCCAGTGCTTTTTACTGACCTGCAAAATCTGATGGGTTCAGCTTAGCATCCAAGAACATTTAGGGGGGGTTGTCTGTTTTTTGTTTTGTTTTGTTTTTGAGACAGAGTGTCACTTTGTTGCCTTCAGTAGAGTGCTGTGGTGTCACAACTTACAGCAACCTCAAACTCTTGGGCTCAAACGATCCTCTTGCCTCAGCTTCCCAAGTAGTTCCAACTATAGGTGTCTGCTACAAAGCCTGGCTATTTTTAGAGACAGGGTCTCACTTTAGCTCAGGCTGGTCTCTAACTCCTGAGCTCAGGCAGTCCACCCACTTCAGCCTCTCAGAGTGCTGGGATTGTGGGCATGAGTCACTGCACCCAGATGTCTGTTTGTTTTTTGAGGCAGGGTCTCTGATCTGTAGCTCTTGGTAGCATACAATAACCTCATCATAGCTCATAGCAACCTCAAATCCTTGGGCTCCACTGATCCTCCTGCCTCAGCCTCTGGAGTAGCTGGGACTACAGAGATGTGCCACCATATCTGGCTAAATAAGACCATTTTTTGGTATAGTCCTACCTTGCCTTTCCAGACTGATTCTTCTTTTCCCTAAATACTCCATGGATTTCTCACTCTTGATTGTACTAATTGTATTGTTCCTTCTGCCTGGGACAGTCTCCTCACCTAACCCACCCCTGCTTGCTAAAGTCCCATGAGTAGGTCAAAGATTCATTTCTAATTTCCTTTCCTGGTTCCTAATATCTTTGTCTTTCGAATTCCACAGATCTCTTTTTAAAAATATTTTTCTTAAAAATACTTCAAAAATGGGCAGCGCCTGTGGCTCAAAGGAGTAGGGCACTGGCCCCATATGCTGCAAGTGGCAGGTTCAAACCCAGCCCTGCCCAAAAACTGCAAAAAAGAAAAAAATACTTCAAGAAGGCCGGGTATAGTGGCTCATGCCTATAATCCTAACACTCTGGGAGGCCGAGGTGGGTGGACAGCTTGAGCTCACGAGTTCGAGACCAGCCTGAGCAAGAGTGAGACCCCCATCTCTACTAAATATAGAAAAACTGAGGCAAGAGGCAAGAGGATTGTTTCAGCCCAAGAGTTGGAGGTTGCTGTGAGCTATGATGACGCATGGCACTCTACTCAGGGCAACAGTTCCAGACTCGGTCTCAAAAAAATGAAACAACACAAAACTTTGAAAATTTACTTAAAAACACCATTTTCTCTGCTTTCAAAGGAAATGTAAATGACCTATACAATAAGAAAACACATATGTCACAGAAGAAAATAAAAGTCCCATTTTTAAAATCTATGCATTATACATATTCATACATGGCAATGTATCATATCATTTTATAAATGTGCTTTTAATTAAAAATGCATCCTACGTAATTACATTTTTTGTTCACCATGATTTTTAATGCCTACAAATGAACTCTATTTAACAATCAATCTATAATATTGGCCATTTTGCTTATTTACACATAGAATGCAGTATTTTGAGGGCGTATAAACAGGGTGCTATCTAGGGTATGGAGACAAATTTCCTGAAAGAGAACAATAAGAGTATTTTTCAGAAACAAGAAACTGGGGCCAAAATTACTGGGAGAATTCCTAATTATAGATTCCCCATGAATAGCTGGAGATACTGGCAGGTGTGCTGAGTTTCCCATAGTTAGCGATGTAGGGGTTTGTTCTTAAATTTTAAAGGACAGTGATCCCAGCTGACCTAAGGATGGCTCTGGGCCTACTTTCCTCTTCATCTCAGTGTCAACCTTATGGAAAGAATCATCATTCTTTACTGTCTACATTGCTTCATCACTAACAATTCCTTACTCAAGCTCTCAACTCAGCCCAGTGACTTGTGCACAGCAGGTCTGGGCGCAACGTCAGTTCTAGCCCGCTTGTAAACTGGCATCTCTTTCCTGGTTCTTCAAAATGAATTTCTTCATGGTTGTCAGCGGGTGCTCACCACCAGTCAGCAGAGCCTCACCTCTGTGTTCCCGCACCCTGATTCTGCAGCCCCGGTAAGGCTACAGACCGGTTTCCAGGTACATCGATCCTTGGAAGGTCCCGCCTGCCTCCTGCCCGCCTCTGCACATAGTTCCTCAGTAACCCTGAGAGATCTGTGAGCACCGGTTGCCAGTCCTTCAACTCTTGTTTTCGGTGCATCCATAGGTTACCTCGAGGCAATATGTCAGAATGCCCCGCGCCTCCATGCCTGTGTGAATGTCCTAACATTTAATGCGCACCCGAATGCCAGGCTAAGGCCACCCCTGCTTCCTTTCACTCAACAGCCTTTAACTAGGCCCCACTACATGCCCGATCTAAGAGAAGAGGTCACAGTCCCGGGTCCCAAGGCGCTCGCCGCTGGGGCAAGACAGCCGCGTAGGCAGATCTTGTCCCTCTAGCGGGCGGCATCAGCCCCTTCCGAAGGCCCCTGCCCTGGTGGCGCGTCAGAGGACAAGAGGCCCAGGTCGCAAGGAGCGGTGACCCGGCCCAACCGCGCGGGGTGCCTGACGGCACCAGCTGGAGCGGGAGCCTGGCTGGGCGGGCCGGGGTCGGGGGTGCACGACGTCTGCCCCGCCCTCCGCGCCGCCGCCGCCGCTCAGCCCGCCTCGGGCGGGAGGCGGGAGGCCGGGCCCAGGTCCGGGCAGCCCCTCGGCCGCACCGCCCTGGGCCGGTGCCCAGGACCGAGTCGCTTTCCGCCTGCCCCCACCCCCCGCCTGC